GAAATATCAGACCAAACCAAGCCTTTATAGTAGTGAGGTATTGAAAATCAAAATGGCGTATTTAAGTGTTTTACAGTCACATAAAAGAAACCCATCATTCTATAGGTATTTGAAGAACTTATAGCATTCCGCCACAATTTAATTCTTTGTATTGTTAGCCGACACTGGGCAGCTTGTACGTAATTGAATAGAGTTGTTTAAACATTTGTTTAACAACAAGTAAAAGCTTGGAATGGTCTATTCTTTCATTGGGGGTGTGTCTTTATATTTTTGATCTCCTGTTTTCTACAGCAAAAAAAAATACAATATCTGCACCAAAAGCATAATATGCAACAAATGCTTGTAACATTCAACTTAATTACCATCAATTCAGAGAAATGTTGCATTTCCGGAAAACCGAACATACAAACTGCTTATGAATAAACATATAAAAACGGGGCTAGCTTTTGAAAACATGATGTTTTCAGTAAATTTGAACATAAGTATAACTATTATTAACAAGACATTCTACACAAATCCTCTCACCATGAAATTGTCTTCATGAACAATAAAAATTTTACCTTTCAATGAGAATTTTTTGAAGGCACATGTTAATGAGGTTAGCCACAAGAGGGCAGTTATCTCTACGTACTGTTTCTATCCCTTTACAGTCCATTTTGTCATGTGTTTCTGGTTTGGTGTAGTAAAGGCCAGCATAGCGTTTCTTATTAATCAGCAAGTATGGGAAGTAAACCTATTAATTTAAAAAAATATAAACTAAATGAAAAAATAAAAATAGAAACATTTTTATGTTCAAACAGATATGTCAGACTCTGCTGTATCATAAACATAAATCAGAAGTTTAGGTATCTTTCCAAATATCTTATTTATAACTTTTCTTTCTTGTCTGTATTTTATTTTATAACTAGACACTACGAGTTAAGTACATTACCTACACTGACAAATAAATTGTTCTCTGTATATTTAAACCCGATTAATAGAAATCAAAGTGCCTTTTCTTAATAATTGTTCAATTATAATATCAGAATTTCGGGGTTGATCTTATTATAGTCACAGAGTAATCAAAGAACATCCAAAACAAAAAATAGTATCTCCACTAAGGTACCAATCTAATATCAATAAAACTATCTGAATTAAGTCGATAAATCACCTTTGAAGAGGAACCACGTTTAAAGTTACAGATGAAAACAAAAAATAGTATCTCCACTAAGGTACCAATCTGATGTCAATAAAACTATCTGAATTAAGTTGATAAATCCCCTTTGAAGAGGAACCACATTTAAAGTTATAGATGAAAACAAAAAATAGTATCTCCACTAAGGTACCAATCTAATGTCAATAAAACTATCTGAATTAAGTTCATAAATCCCCTTTGAAGAGGAACCACGTTTAAAGTTATAGATGAAAACAAAAAATTATCTGAAAAGTTAACCACCGAGAAAAATAAAACAGCATTTTACTGACTTAAATATTTCTTTCATAATTTATCTTCAAACAAGCTGTGAAACACAAAATTAGCATATATATTGTAAGATGAGGGGCATCAATTTAAAATATACCTACACCGTGAGAACGTGAAAACTGAAGCTTTTGCAACATGTACGTATTAGAACTCTGTGGTCAAAAGAGGATATCTTTACTTATTAAACAGTACGTTAAAACAATTTGATTTATCTGCTTATCTATCAATGTTATCAAGTAACAGTTAGCCAGTATTTCTTTAGATTGGTCATGAATAATAGTGAAATGATCCATTGCTAGAGATTTCCCTTCAATTTTTTTTTTTCTGGGGGTTGGTGGGGGAAGGATTTTATTTGACGAATAACATGGTGCAGGCCAATTGAGTGTTGAAGGTGCAGTATGCCTACAAACATGGTCTTATTATAGACCCACAAAATTTTTTTACAAGTACGATTCTAATTGTACTCAGCTTCTTTCATGTCAATATTTTTCATCTAGAAATAAAATCCTCAAATTTGTAAAACAATCTGGGGTGGAAGGAGAGCTTACTCTCTTGCCTTATAGAAAAAAAAAACAACAACATGAATTTCTAAAGGCCTTTGAAGGGTATCTAAAGAAAAAAAAAAAGCTAAAAGATACTCCTCTTAAAACACAACAAACTGGATGTGAAGCAAATTTACTTAAGACAAATATCTACAAATAATCCAAATTCCTAATGAGTATTAAGATGCTGCCACAAAAAAAAACTGAATAACTTAAGATATGGTTTAAACCCAACTTATTTTTTTCATGTAATGATTACATTTTAATCTTATGTTCTTCTAACATTTCTAGGTTAAACTATTTACATTTTGGACTCCAAGTGAGGTGGAACACATTACCTTCTCAAACTCAAGCTTTATTGGTGATGTAAAGTGACCCGACACGTACTCTGCTGCGACCTTCCCAAGCTCCATCACCTGCTTTAATGCTTCAACATGATCGCCTGAAGGTGGAAAGGGAATGCCAAAATTGACCATGACGGAATCAGTGTCGCCGTAGATAACCTTTGCATTTTGGGCATAGCCATTAGCTATGTTGTATTTTTCTTCGACCAATGTTTTAGTCTTCTCTATCATCATACGTCCAAAAGCTGTCACACTCTACAAACATCACACAAATGTGTAACAGTTTTGTAGCACAAGTAAACTTCAAATAACAGTATCTTATAAACTAGTATATAAAATGTCATACTGTAAAAGTATAGAATCTAATAAATTTGGCCAAATGTTCAGGTACTACAATATCTTAAAAAAAAAACAGTTGCATCCTAAAATCATATTGGTTATTTGATGGAATGTGCAAAAAAACAAGCTATTATAAATACAAAATTACATAACATAAAACTAACTTCTCCAAAATGAAGCATAAGAATGGACAAGGGGAAAAATCCAAGGTGTCTGGAACGGAGAGAAGAACCCAATCACAAATTCTCCAACACGCATTCTATTTATCAATTGGCTGATTGATTACCTATTTTATCAGTCTACCCAATTTTAATCCTGTGTTGGAGTGGTGTGAAACTAAGGATTAAAATTGGGTAGACTGATAAAATAGGTAATCAATCAGCCAATTGATAAATAGAATGTGTGTTGGAGTGGTGTGAAACTGAGGGATTAAAATTGGGTAGACTAAGAAAGTAGGTAATCAGTCAGCCAATTGATAAATAGAATGCATGTTGGACATTCTATTTATCAATTGGCTGACTGATTACCTACTTTTTAGTCTACCCAATTTTAATCCTCAGTTTCACACCAATCATGAGAAACCCCCTGGAAATAGTAAAATAAGAAATTATTCTGCTTGGTACAAGATACTCATGTCAGCATAACATTAAGTTAAATAAAATTTTTCAAAAATACTGTAATCTTCTCTGCAGTAGCTCCGAAGAAAGTCATCAAAAATTCATCATACAGCAAAATCCTAAAGTTAGAATACGTAAATCAAGTTTTTCTTAATTCAGAATTTTTAAAATTCTGCTAAAAGTGTCTAAAAACTGGAAATCAACACACATAAAACACTACCCACTCTTCATGAAACAAAGGAAGTATAAAAAAAATACCTGAGAAATTTCTAAACAAGGAAGTTTGCCCACTTGAGCACCAGTAAACCCGTACACAGAATTAGCACTAATCTTCAAAGCCAGTTGGCGGCCATCTAGCACCTTCTTTCTCAAAGGGTCAGTCTCTTTTTTGAGGTCTTCTTTGGCTCTACCAAAGGAAACACGAGCACAAGAAAATGACCATAATGTGACTCTCTAATAAAAATAACCATTTTAAGGTCTCAACTCTTTCCAATCTAGTTATATATTGTTTTTACAAGGGTAAAATGACATCAAGTTCTGTAAAATTCTCTTAAAATTACTTAAAAAATCAAATCAAGATGAAATGTTGAGATTTCAAATTTTCTGTCGATCTATGTTTTATTAACATTATGGATACAGTAATTAACAAAATCCAGAGACCTAAGCCTAATTTTTTTGTTTGGTTACAGAGCTATCGAATAGAAAATCAGACCCCCTCCTGCCACATCCTCTCTTTCACAATTTGTTGATAGTTCTCTCTTATTTTTTCATCTATTAAATAATGTATTGTACAATGTTGTCTTCTGAACAGGAAAGCATCAATTTCACTCACAGTACAAGCTTTGTTCCCGTGAGAAAGTTAACGACTAGCTGGGATGAATTTTTAACGGTTCTTGTCACATAGTTAGAAAGCCAGAAAAGTTTTGAGAGGTAAGGGAATATGTCTACATTTTGCATGTTATTAGCCTATATCCTTTGGGTGTATTATTTAATTAAATAAAAATTGTTAAATGCATTACTATTAGTACTATAAAAAGTTGGAGTTAACTCTCTTCGAAACCCGATGGCAAGGGAAAAAAAGATTAGTTAAGTATTTTATTTCTTGTTTTTCATATTTATGCTTTATTTATTATTATAAAAGTAACTAAAATCTAAACATATGGATCTTTTTAAGTTATTTAAGACTAGATTAGGTAAAATAAGTAATAATAAAAATATAATTAAAATGGTTCACGAGACACACACGTGAGCAGCTTGTGGGTAATCTAAATCGATAGCGTAATGTGACCTACATGCTCTCCGAGTGATCTACAACTTATAATGGCACGGAAAGTAGTTAGACATGGTTCAAAGAGCAATAAAACAATAAAATTTAATTATAAATAGATGTATAATGTTATGAACTTAGAGTAACTTAGGATAAATGAATGTAGTTATGTTATAATTTGAAGTCATACTAGAAAGAAAAAAGGTTAATTTAGGTTTATTTCAATTTTTTTTTTTGTGGTTATGAGGTCGTTTGAATTTACCGATCTCATTTTGAGATAGGGTAGAGAAAATAATAGATAAGCTATAAAGTTTTACTGAAAAAACGTTTGAAATGCATTTAGGAGTTCTCGGGGATTACACAAAGGAGATTTGAGATTTTTGAAATGAGGAAAAGTATTTTTTATTTTAACATGAAAATTACTTTGCACATGGACTATTCAAAACAAATACTCAATATATTCATGGACAAATCTTTATTTTATTAAAAATACTTCACCAACAGATATGACTTTTTGTATGTGAAAGACTTGTAATATTAACTGAAAGACTGCCAAATTTCGTGAAGATCTACCCAGTATATTGAGAGTTATAAGTATTTAATCTATAAAGACTTTAAATGAGTACAAAGAGGTCTCGTGGTTGGTCAAATTGACCAAGTCCGTATTGAGAGTGTTAACAGGATGTCTACATTTACTATTTTAAAAATTATCTATTTTCACTAGGTCATTTACTTTAACATACATTTGAAAACCACTTTTAAAAGCAAATAATTTGAAGTGTAGTAAACTAAATGCTTTTTACCTTGTTTAATTTAGAAATTTATGAAAATTATCTTTAAAATATATTACAAAATCCTGTTGTGCCATCTGTTGGACATATGTTTTTATTATATAATTTACCAAGATTAACCATTTTTTTACTTCATATTATAAGCAGGATTTTCTATCATTTTGTGTATATGTCTACTAATACTTTTAAGAATAATAATTTATATGGTTAAAGAAAAAGATTTCAATGAATTGAATTATATTCATTCGTTGCTTAACAACAGAAAATATTTATGTTTACAGAAATGGATTATCTCTACTGGTGCCATAGTTGTATACATTACATTATGTTTGTAGTATGTTATACATTTAATCAGATTTGTATGTAGTGTGAAGCTTTTTTTAAAACATGGACAGTAATGAATGCAGGTTTTAGTTTCAGTTTTAGATGTTCAGAATCCTGTATAGTCGCATACCTATAGCAGCAATGAATGAAATTTATGCAGTTTACAAGTCTCCATAGTAACTGAATTTTATTGACATCTCATAGTATCAAGTTGGACAGCTCTATTCTGTGGCACAAGCTAGCAAGAATGAGACTGGGGGAGGGGAGGGTATAGAAGTCTTGAAAAATGAGCCCTTTCAGAACTACCCGTTATTGGGTGGAAAGTTCAGTTCAGGCCAGTATACCTATAAGATCTACCATCTGGCTAGGTGAGTGCATTTTATATATGTAGCAAAATAGTTGAACGTCACACGTTTAAAAAGAAAGAATCCTGTTAAAATCTAAAATGTTAAACAATAATCTGTGTGACGAGTTAAAAAATGTAAACAAAAGCACACACCTTGTTACCCAATAGGCTCAACCATGTTAATGAAATGTTATATGTTTTCATGTATGTAATTTAGCTTAGAAGTGTATAAGCTTTTTATATTTCTGAAGATAAAAGGTTTTCAACAAAACCACTAACAGGCCTCAGCTGAAGTTTTCTTTTGATGTTATAGAATATCTTTGTTTCCACAAAAGATCCAGTGACATTGAAACATTACTATTTCTGTGCTGTATCACTTACTATTGTGTTAGTCAACTTCTGTTATATCTTAAATTGAAAATATTTGGAGCCTATTAATCTAGAGTTTTTGTGATGATAAGTTTTACTATATTATTTGAAACATTCTTAATGTCATAATTATATTCATTAAAAAATACAATTCTTCTTAAATGAATCATTAATCTCTTACTATAATGGATGTAGCGTGCATGTCAATATCTATGTATGTAACCAAAACTTCTGCACCATCTATTGAATGGCACTACAAACAAAAATCCATAAAAATCTCACACTTTGGGTATTCAAGATTCAGACAATTAGAGAAATAACTGATAATTTGTAAATGTAGTACTGAGAAACTAGAGTTTGTAAAAAAAACAACTATTTTTTCAATAAATGGTACCACTTTTAATATATAAAAACACTACAGTTTATATCAGTAAATATTATTAACATTTTGAGCACTGTACATTGAATCATTTTGATGCAATGACTTGTGTATGACTAAAGAGCACAATCTGAACACTTTTCCTGAGCAGTACTTCCTAGAAAAAACCCAATTTTTAGAAAATGTTCATTTTTTCTAAATTTTTAAAAATCAGGTATGAATACTACGATTAGTAATTACTAGCAAAAACAACCACCTGTAGGGTGGCATTTCTGCTAATAGAATATAATTGCCTAAGAAATATGTTTCAAAAATGCAGATATTCCTGACAGTAAACCCCAGGCTTGGTCTGTCATCAAACTAGATTAAATTTGTTTTCTTAATGCATTTCCTAGTTTAATACAGTTACTATATTTTAGATACAAGGTAAAAAAAAAATCACTAT